TTTTGTCGTTTTTTGTGTCGGCGGTGTGGGGGGGGGGGGGGGAGGAAGAGTGAATTGTAAGTTACATGCTGATCATTGTTTCTATAGATTGAATCGTTATACATGTTTCATGCGGATCACTCTCATAAGAATTAGCGGTTGTGCATGGTTCATGCAGATCATGCTATCATATGAGTTAGTGAGTGAGCATATTTCATTCGAATCATTCGATCCAATGAGTTAGCGGTCGTTCTTGTTTCATGTAAATTACTGTATCAAATGCTTCAGCTATCATCTACAGTTTGTAAGATAACAGTTCGTTGATCAAGAGATTGTGTGTGTGTGAGTGTGTGTGTATGTGTCTGAGGAACAAATTGAACTCCATCTAACTACATAAATCAGATAAACATTGTTCTTCAGTGTAATGGCAGCAAGTAGAATGCTTTAAATGACAGAAAAACAGAAAATTTTATTTACTTTTTTGAGAATACATAGGATATCACATAAAAATCCACTTGAATCGCTCATATTGATAACAAAAAATGTAAGTTGATTGAATAAATAGAGCTTAAGATTGAAAGATTTGATATCTCGTGATGTGAATCTGATGCAAACATTATTCTTTTTGATTGAAGAAAAAAAGAAGTGGATGAGGAAGAGAACACAAAATTCATATTTTATTCATTTTTTAAGTAACAGAGGTATTTCTTATCATTATCATCCAATGACCTGGAATGGCTGGCATGTTGTGCTCATTCCTCTTCCTCTCATCCAACCATCATATGTTTTTCTTTTCATTTTTCTTAATCATTTGTTCATTTCATTATTTATTTCACATCAATCAACTGAAATAATTAAAGTTTTCACAGCGATTTGGAACATTCCAATAGATAGAGAGTGAGCGTATGAGAGATATGTGAATGAGAGACAAAAACACAAAAATGAAATGATTTTTGCCTCAAAATCCATAAATAATTTATATATATGAAAAGGACATCATAGTATTTTATGTTCCATAAAGGTTATTGCCTATAATGGGCATAGATAGGCTTCTTGTTCTTCAGTTCAATGTTGTGATCATTCCATTCTTATGATTAGACTGACTTACATTATTGATTTTCGAACACTTTTATCTCTCTCTATCTTTTTTTTTTGTTTCTTGTTCAGAAACATATTTTTGCCATATAAGAGCAACATGTGTATTGTGTGCGTTGTTAACAGTTCATTCAGTTTATCTATTCATTCGAACTCCAATGTTTGTTTCAGGGTCAAATGAAATTTAAACGTTTCCTTTCATTTCCCTCTCTTTCGCTCTCTCTAGTGCATATAAGACAATTCATATAGTGCTTAAGTATTGATTGTACATGATTAATTCATCTGAATATATATATACTTTTTTAAATAGAATAGACAGAAAAAAAAGAATATATATGTGTTCTTTCTTTATTTAAAGGTTCTCTCTCTCTCTCTCTCTTTTTTGAAAAATTAATTCGTCTTAGTTCATCCTCTACAACTATTGATTTTTTCGTCTGTGGTCTTCTTTCATTTTGCGATTTCAGCAGCGGCGGATAATAGTTTGAGCAGGATGATGAATGGGTTTTCAACGTAAAAGAAAAAAAACCACATTTTGTTTTTAGTTGATATAAACATGAACCATTTATATGAAGTTGTATGATTTCACTTAATACGTTTCGAGTTTTCTCTCTCGCTCTCATTAGAACACGATGAAGTCGACGTAGATGAAGACGAGAATGAAGAAGCAGATGTAAAAACAGTTAATGTTTTAATTAGGAACCATGTTGACTGGTTATGAAAATTGTCGATCAGGACGATTCCATGATAGAGAAGCTTCTTATCATTCATTGTCTTCTTCATACTATCACATAACTTGCGATGCGACCACCGCTCAACACCATCTTCAGATTCTAATGAATAGCACCATGTAGGTACGCCATGTTTGAATATTCATATTGTCATCATATGCTTTTATGCTAATATATGCTTCTGTAGGCAGGCCCAGAATTTCCATTTTTCAGCTTTAAATAGCTTTAATTCAATTTCTTGTGTTTGTAAATATTTCGGTGTGTTTTTTGATCTTCTGAATACTGTTTGACCTTATTTCGAATGTTTTTTGGCAGCTTCTCATTTTGTGATGTGGAACATAAGCAGGCAAAGTAATGTTTCTTTGTGTTTTTAATCTCTTCCATTATTTTGTTATCTCTCTTCCTCTTCTTCTTCTTGTTTTTCAATATTCTCTTTTTAAAGGTTGAAGTTTGATCTTGATACAGTCAAGTTGCTTGAGAACGTAACTCTCTGCTGCTTCATATCAGCAATGACTTCTTCTGCTTGTCATGCAAATCTTTGTGAATTTTTGTAATTCTACTTATGTTTTCCTATTCTCTGTGTTCTCGCTCTCAAATAATAATTGTTTTGTTTTCTTATGCTCTTCGCATCTTTTTTTACCACAATTTTTGCATTTCTTCAATATTTTCTTTTTCTATCTGCCTGGAACTGTATGATTTGGCTTAAGTTTTTGCTTTTACTACTTTTAAGCTGACAAATCTTCCGAATGTCTGCGATATCGTCAAACGTTGACGTAGAAAAGCCAGCTGCACCCACTTGCTTCCTCTCATTCCCTCTAGATCTCTCTCAGTCTCCCTCTCCCCCCCCCCTTTTTTTCTTTCATAAAATGAACAGACAGAGGAGGAAAAGGCAGAAATAAAGCCACACATATATAGAAGGAAAGACACATTTCTATATATGTATTAGCCTGGTCCAGTCAATATTTGGTGATATGCTAATAGAATTTCTTTTTCTGATTAATTTTCTGCTTTCATTCACGAAAATCCATATCAACTAGACACCATTGAGTATGGAAAGGATTGAAATGAACGATGTAGATGATGAGTTGGTGGCGTCAATCTGGTTGTCGATTACCTTTCATGTGCCATATTACATTTGCCTCCAGATCATTCATTCGCGGATCATCCCACAGCTCTACTCTCTTCTCTTCTTTTTTTTTCGTTGCTCTCCCCCTCAAATTGTTTACCATTATTTACTGATTATAGGAGGTTATTATAAAAACTCTTTTATATCCCATTTTTATTTGATTCGCCGTCCGTTTTTATTGACTTGCCCATATAAATCCTATTATCACAATGTTCACTCATTCATGTAATTCTTCAGAATTCTTACAACAGCCACCATTTTCTGATTTTTGGCGAAGTAACGTATGTATGTGTGTTGTATGTATATATAGTGTTTATCGCAATTTTCATTATTCAATCGTTATATATATAGAAGACACAATGATTCGTTTGGGATGCCTTTGTCTTTCGTCACTCGTCATCCTATATACCTTAGAAGGAAGTTAGTTCTTCTATTGATCATATTCAGATGGAATTTCTTCCAGTCTGACGATGTTCATTAGAAAGATTAATTCATTTTATGCTTCATCTTTTCCACTTTTCCATTCTGTTAATTGTCGTTTTTTCCAACGGAAACTCATTGATGATTCTAATTTTTGTTTTCTTGTTGTTTCTTTAGCGATTTCTTTTTAATATTACTTTATATTTATATAATATTCGTTATGCTCTTCATTTGAAACCCGCCATCTTCAATTTCACTTCTTTACTCTCAAATTTACATTGAATATGGCTGCTACTTTACTAATTTCATATCTTTTAATAGATAAAAAATGACACAAGCTGAAGAAGTTTCTGTTCGTACTCTTGTTCACGAGACTCGTGAAACACCAGCAAACTACGAAATCGCCTTTTCTGAGAATAATCCATCTGTCTCTTTCAAAGAGACAAATATGACCAGTGGTGATCTCAAAGTATACTTTATTTTCTCTTTTTTTCTTATTAACTTCATCATTTTTCTTTTCAGTCTATTTTTGGGCAAATCGACCCAAGTTCTCCAATTGCTCACGAAATTCTCAATAGAGCTCGCACCCTTTGTGTCAAACATCTTGGTGGTGCTTGGGCTGATGTGACTTTGGACAAATTCATTTTAAAACCTGTGACGTACGTTTATTATCATTTTTTTGTTTTTTGCTATGATATTGTTGGTGTAGGGGTGGCATATCTAACTTGCTTTTCCTCGTGGAATTACCAAAGGATGTGGCTGTGTTGAAATCTGAGCCCTCTCAAGTCGTTCTTCGTGTCTTCTGTCAAGAAAACTACGATCAACTGATTATTGAATCTGTTGTTTTTACCCTTCTTTCTGGTTAGTTCAAACTAAATGATCTGATTGAGTGTTTATGTTTCAGAACGAGGTCTAGGTCCGAAGCTCTTGGGGGTCTTCCCCGGTGGAAGATTTGAAGAATATATTCCTAGCCGTCCTTTACATTGCGATGAGCTTAGCGATCCAAAGTAAGTAGTACTCATACAAATGACAGTTTTATTTTCTATCTGTCCGAATTTTCTCCAATTTCTGACAGAACTCACATTTTCTTTTCAGATTTGCTAAGATCATTGCTCCAATGGTTGCTCGGGTACACGCACTTGATGTGCCAATAACTAAACAACCGGAGGTTATATCTACAGGACGGTAAGCACTCTCAATTTCTTCTAAAAGCTTCCTTTTTGAGAGGAGACAAGAAGTTATTGTTTTGAATATTTTTGTTTAGTGATTGGTTGAGAAAATTCCGACAAACACCTGGCGGGCAACAACCAATTATTATGAGGACGACAGAGACAACTGTAGACAAAAGCCGGGTAAGCGAGCATCATATGAAAAGAGATAAAAGCGTCAAACAAACTCTTTCTTTCTTGTAAAAAACTAAAACTGAGAAATTGTTTTTTAGTTTCCTGAAGCTCTCACAATTGACGATCTTGAAAGGGAATGGGATTTTGTCGAGAAGTTTGTCAAAAGCTACGGAAGTCCATTAGTATTTTCACACAACGATTTACAGGTATTAAGTTCGAATGTACTGTAATTCTCTGAATTAAAAATTTCAGAAGGGAAATATCCTTTTGAAAACGGGTTATGAGCTTTGTGACGATGGAAGAGTTCTGCTCGATGGAACAGAAACGTCATCTGATCCTCTAGTTCTAATTGATTTTGAATACAGCACCTATAATTATAGGTAGTTTCAAAATATTTATTGACAAAACCTAAGTGTTTATTTTCAGGGGTTTCGATTTTGGAAATCATTTTTGCGAATATGGCTTTGACTATGATTGTGATTCATCTCCCTACTATAAAGTACTTGAAGATAGATTTAAACTACCTGATCATTGGAGAACGTATTGCAAGAAATATTTAGAAGAAACTTACAAAGTATTTCTCTATTAGTTAATATTCTCATAATCAGATTCCTTTCAAGACATTGAATACGGAACACTCAGACATGTCACCTCACTCAATCACCGGCAATCTTGAGGAAGATTTGGAGAAGCTAGTTGAAGAGGCTTCTATTTTTATGCCTATTTCCCATCTATTCTGGTCTTTATGGTCTTTAGTGAATGCCGAGGTTAAACATATTGAAAGAAATCACAAAAACCTTATTCTGCCCTTTTTTCAGAGTTCTGTAATCGTCTTTGACTATGCTGCCTATGGTCGAGATCGTTTGGCTTTATACTTTGATCGAAAACCGGAACTGGAAAAATTGTTGAATCGTCAATAGAGACGTGAAAAAAAGTTTATTTTTTTGATTCAAACACACATATACAAGAACTGAGAGAAAAAAAAACCTTTTTGCATTGCATATCGAAAAAAACGGAAAAAAAGACTTAAGATTACCAAAAATATAATTTTGTTAGTTCCTGGAATAATGTTTGTAATAGAGACTTATTACGTTTCTGTAATGGAAATGTAGTGACATTCCTTGGTTCCTATTTACTTCATTTTTTTTTATTCATTTCGTTTTTAGAGAAGTTGTCTTATTAATAATTCATTATTCTTAATAAATATAACAACATAAATATGGAAGAAGACAGAAAGTAAGAGAGAGAGAGAGAGAGAGACCCGTATGAGTTATGGAGTAAGTGAGAATGTAGAAAGCATTTGCCAAAATCGGAAGAAGTGAATATCGCAAACAGAAACAGAGAAGCACACAAATATATCAAAATATTGATTTCAATTTTCTGAATAAATCAGAGAAATGTGTCAAAAACCTGAATGATTAATATAGAATCTGATCGACAGAACTAGCGTGAACAAAAAAAAACAATTTGAAATGGCTTACTCAGCTACTTGTTCATCCCAATATGGCCATTGATTAGCCTGTAGCCATTGGGGGCTTGAGTCCGGGATTTTCCCACAATAAAATCTGCGAATTGTTAAGGAATAAAATTCTCTGAAGCAGAACAATGATGTTGGCTGATAGAGATTAAGAATGTACCCTTTGGCATCTGTAGATAATTGTAGATTTGATATGAGATCAAAAGCTATGACGTCTTCATCGTTCAAGTCTAGCTTCTCCTCTCCTTCATAGAACTCTCCCCTTCGAACTATGACATTATCATAAATTATTTCACTATATTTCTCCAAAAGCTCGTATTGACAGCATTGTAATGAAACTCTGAAATTATAATATTTTATTTCATGAATAGTTAATAACTATTTTTATATTAGCATCAAACATCTTGCTTCCTTCTTGCATGTTCAATATGAGAGAAGATAAAAGAAAGCGAAAAACTTACTGTCCATCAACCGTTTTCTGAAGTCCTCCCACCCATGTGTCATTTCCTGAACATGTGTCAGTTTCTGGACGTTCGGGACATTCCTTTAATTTTTTTTTGTGTCATGCTTTACTTATAATTGTAAAAAAAAATTTTCATCTTACAGCATATTTTTTTTCATGACAATTGGGCTTTGAACATAACAGAGTTAAATGGCCATCACGGTGAACCTTAAAAGGATACAACGAGTATAAGAGTCATGAATGAAGAAGGGTTACCTCTAATCCGTAGGGAATCTTATTATTTCCACAAAACTCGCTCAGTACAAACGATAGAATATGTGAAAGTATGAATATGAACAATCTCATCTGAAACTATTTGCTGTAAACTGACTGATTTTCATTTGTGCGATAAAGAAACAGACGAGACCGGTTGCATACCATCAAATGTTCGAAAAAAACAAAACAAAATATGAGTCTTTGATAAGAAATAAGAAAGCATTTCATTTGAATCGTTTACAATATATTCATGAATATTTAAGCATATGAGAAATTTAAAATACACTAAAAGTGGCATAGCACACAAGTTCAACATGAGGATGAAACCGAAGATCAAACGAAAGAGGAAGATGAAGCTCAATGTGTGAGGGTGGATGGTGCTTATCACTCAACACATCATCAACAACATCTCTGTTGGTGGGCTATGAGTGCTACGAAAGAGTTCTGTTATGGTTGATAGTAAAACCATTTGTATGTTTTTTTCTATCTTTATTTAAAAAAAAAAGAAAAAAAGAACAAAAAAAACCAAGTTTTCACAAAAGGATTGAAAACGGAGTGCAATGGTGATGACAGGCAGCAGAACAAGACAATATATGATTCAACGCATGTTATGGTGAATTTCCGTAGAGAACTATTATCGAGAAATAATATTTCGATAAAATGAAAACAAAAATCAAAAAAATGTTATTCTGTTAAATAATAAAAAGTCATTATAGAAGAGTGTATGCTGTCAACTGACAGGGTAATTGGAATGTTTAAAAAAAACATTTGGAAAAATGTTTAGAAGCGTAAAGGAGAAAAGAAATAGCGAAATGCGAGAGATGTCTTATAAAAAGTAGGACGAAGTGGTAGGTGGTGGAAAAAAGGAAATTGGACAGATACACATAATCTGGAAAAGAAGTAGGAAATGATGATGACGTTGAAGAGAACGATCATCTGAAAGATGTCTAAATGATCAGATAAATGAGAGACAATAGAAGAGGAAATGGTGACAAGAATACAGTTAACGTAGAGAGAAAAAAGAAACAAGACACATAAAGTGATGAAAAAGTGTAAAAGAGAGAGAGAGATAGAGAGAGAGAATTTTGGTTAGTTAATTGGAACACGTTTGACTGGCTTTCACAAATACTGTGAATGACTGACTGCAGAAGGGGGGGGGGGGGAGAATGGAAAAAATAGCAAATCAGCTAAATGAGAACCGCTCAGTGTTAGATATCAATCGATAATAATAATAATGATCATCATTGAGAAGGATATGAACATCATTTTTCTAATTTCTTTTTTTGTTCTCTGATAATTGCATTTGTCGGGGTGGGGGGCAGAAGCCCCTCCACTTCCCCCATTTTCTGAACATGAGCGATCGACAAGACGCATTGGACAGTCGTAAGTATTGCTCAAGTTCGTCAAGCAATGAAAACCGATGTTTCCGATATAAACGGAACGACTAATCAACGAACATTTTTGAAAAAAATAGAAAAACGATCGAGTAATAGAACCAGTTTACATCGTTAACTATACTATATAGTTCACAAGAGATTATAATCTTCTGTTGCTTACCACCCATAATAACATAGGACTAATTCTTCGATAATCAACAATGACTAAACGAATGTAGAACAATCTGTTTATAATCAGTTAACTATAACAATTATATGAAACACATACATACATATAGACGCACACACACAAAAATTCAATAATTCACAAGAACTGTTGAGTTCTCAACAAGACATTCAACGAACAGTTAAAGCTTGTACGTCGAATTTTAAGCAAATATTAGCCGACAATAGTTGACATACACATATATATATATATAAATATATATATTAGAAGAAGAAAAGAAGTTAAAACAGACATGTATGTACAAGCTTATGATTTCACCCCTCATACACTCACTATCTATCTATCTCTCTCTATATCTCATCTCCCTTATATCCTCTTCACATCTTCTCAACTAGCCAACACAAAAAAAAAGAGAATAAGAAAAAGAAGAAGAAGAAGAAGAAGAAGAAGGCACTTGTTTTGTCAATTCCTTAAAAGGTTTTTAAAAGAAGAGAGGGAGTATGGGCAGTGATACTTTGCCAAGAAACTTCACTATGATTGAATCAATAATCATTCACACATTGTATTTGTTTATTTTTTCAGATGCGATCTTTCAAACTACAAATATGGAATCAATTAATAAATTCGTTCGTTATTGATTAATTTTTACATTTATATAATATAATATAATGATATTTATAATATACTGGTTATGATTTAACGGTATTTATGCTTCTTTCAACAATAAACATGATTTCATGAAAATAATTTGCATAATCTCAATAGATGAAATGAGAGAATTAGAATACGTGATTCTTTCACGTATCCTTATGTCATTCTTATCATTCAGCTTGTATAGACATGGTTGCATTCTAATTTCTATTCGTTTGTTCGTTCGTTTTTGTGTTTCATTCCTCTGCTCTTCTACACACACACACACACATTCTGTCAATTTAATGGAAACATTCCAATTAGTAAAGTTTCTTATGAACGTATTTCATAATCTCTTTTGATTCATTCTGCTCTCCTTTCACATTCAACACGTTCTCAATCTCAGAATATATCTCACACGATGGACTTGTCTCATTTTCAAATTAGTTGCTCATATTGATCATCATCTGCAGGATATGTCGTTGTCAGAATAGTTGCGATTAAACGAAATTGAGTCTTCTTCTCCATATTTAAGGTTATTCAGTTGATTGTAAATAGAATACACGTAAAGTTGTTTGAAACATTTTCAATTTTTTTCAGAAATTGCTCTCTCTCTCTCTTTTTCTCAAACCAAATAGCTCCTTAAGCAAAAAAAATATTTTTGCATGTGCCCTTTGATTTGAATGAATATATGTTTTCGTTACATTTTTGAGTTTTTTTTCTTTCCTTACCAAATGACGAAGATAGTTAATTGGTAGATAAAACATCAGGATTTATTCGTTCTTTCTACCCCCCTCTCCTCCTCCAGTCTTGTACAAGCTTAATCAAGCTGATTCCATTTAAAGTGCAGCTTAATATCCGGCTGAACTGATGGAATTTGCTGACACACAGCGTAGAGAAACGAGACAAAACTGTTTTTTCTTTCGCTCCTTTTGAATTTTCTGTTGTTTTGAACGTTTTTCCTTTTTTTTATTCTGTTCACTCACTCTTTCTTACTGTCTCTCTCTGCTACTCTCTCTCTCTATCACTTCACCTTTTTAGGCTTGTGTTGTAGTTGCGTTTGAAAACGGACTTCGTCAAGTTATGGTGTGTTGTTCAAGGAATTCTTCCATAAATCTTTTGAAACATATTATTTTGTTATAGTTTTGATATATAAACTCCATCCTGTGCTTCTTGCAACAGCAATGCTTGTGTCCCTTCTTCTCTGTTTCCTAAAAAGGAAAAAAAAGATTGTTTGATGAAGATTAATGTCGTTACTTTCATTCTCGTCCTCTCCATTTACTTTTTCACTCTCATCCCTCTTTTTTTTGCTTCTCTTTTTACACCCACCACTCTTCATTTTATCCGATTAGAACATGAATTGCCAAAGTGCTCATTTTGAAACACAAAAAAATATATGTTTAATGAAATATTTATTTTATAATAGTTTGTTTTCTCTTAATCATATATGCCTCGTCGGAATATGAGGATTTCTTTGTGTGAAAATTATTCACAAAATTATTCTTGGAATATTGGATTTTATAGGTCCATTCGATGCTCTCATGAAGATTGAAAAATCTCACGAAGAATCTGCATTCTTCTACTTCTTCTTCTTCTTTTCCTATGCAGTTATTTCAGTTTTGAAGAACAGAGAGAGAGAGGAAAAACCTTCTCTCCACCCCTCCCTTCCTGCCCTCTCTTCTCCACCCCTACATCCATGTACGCGAAAGAACAATGTTTTTTGATTTTTCTAACCAAAAAAAATTGTTTATTTTTCATTAAAAGACTTAAATGGTTGGCATACGTGGTAAGAGAGAGGAAAAACCCTTTTCTTCAAGTATGAATAGTATTAGGTACTGATATTTCGACTGAATAACAACCGCTCTCAGTTCCGTTGTGAGTTCGAAATGAGAAGTTCACCTGCGACACGTGTGTCGCCTCTATGCTAATGGTGTATCTGAGATATAATAGCTGTAATGAGATTTAATGTAAATCTTTATGAAAGTTTATATAGACTCAAAAAGTAATAATGAAATTCAAAATTATTTTCCACCCTCACTTTCACTTTGTCTCAGACATTCCAGTTCACTCGTTTGTTCGGTTTTACTCCAGTTGATACTGCCAAAAGATCTAAGCTTAATGAAATAACAGAATAAGTTTGTGTTTCTCCTTTTCCAGCTGTAAACATGCAGTTGATGGAATTTTTTTTTCATCTTTGCTCAAGTTCTCTCATTTCATTTCATTCTTGTTCGTTTTTGTTTTTCCTTTGAACTGGTTAAGCGTTACTCATTGATAGCATTGTATATATGGACTAGCCAAACTTATCCATTTATGCGTTTGACTGTTTCCAACGTTTTCAATGAATTAACTTTGCTCCATCCTTTGCCTTGTCTTAATTTATCTTACTTTCTGTTTCTCTAGCTACTTTCAGATGCTCACTTGCTCTTCTTCTTTCTCCTCTCTTTTTTTTTCGTCTGCCGTGAATTCAATAACAAACTCGATAACTTCACTACTTCTCTCTTTCTCGTCGTCTTGTTTCTCCTCCCGTTTTTCCAGCTCCCCCCTTCTTTTTCTCTGACACTATCCATCTATTTATATTCTACATCACTTTACTTTTCTCTCTGAATCTCTTTTTTTTTTACTAAATTTTCTCATTGGCTTCGTTGTCCTCCCTTTCATCACGTAGTGGCTGCCGTCGTTGACGACATGGCCGTTTCTGTCTGAGGTTATGCCTGTCGTTGTCGTTTCTCCTAGTTGCTCAATAATTTCACCTTCAAGTTTATTTCAGAAAGAAGAAAAAAAAATCATTTTCATTTTCAATCGAAACTTCCCACAACTTTCTATTCAGCTAATTGTTGTGTTCCTCTTCTTTTTTTTTCTCATCAGCTAAGACAAGAAGCTCGTCTTAAAGAAGGGAA